CATGCCAAAACAAGCCAACAGTTGTTTTCTTTACCTTATTTCCTCCATGCACCATGATTTCAGAGATTGTTTTGGTGTCATTTTAAATGTTTTCTTGTGACATGTACTGATGATAAAAGTCATCTTGACAAAAAAAAAGATTTATACATGAATCAGAAAGTATTTATTTCAATTTTGTACCTTTCCATTTTAATACATTATAATGTATTGACTCAACTGAGATAATATAAACAGTTCATTTTAATAACACGTGTGTGTGCCTTTTCCTTTATGTCTAGTTGGGGTGGGATAAACACTCCTGGGGTGGACAGGAGCATTAGCTGGCCTCCGTGCGAGCAGAGGGCAACCTCCCCTGCACCAAAGGCTACTGGACTGGGAGTTGGAAGCAGCTGGTGCCTTTGGGAGAAGGAAAGACGAGGAAGCAAGGAAAGGAAGTGTGGAGGTAAGTGGTGGCCTGCTGGGCAATGCTGACTCCTACCGTGCTGTCCATTGCACTGGCCTTCCCACTAGCAAGGCAAGCCCAGACCATTCTGGTCCTCTCACTCTGGCCCCTGGATGTGGTCTTTGATAGAAGGCTACAAGAGGGGCCTTGCGAGGGAAATCCAAGCTGAGAAGTTGGAGAGGAAAACTTGGTATTAAAAAGAAGGGTATGAGGGTGAGAAGAGAAGAGGAGACTAAAAAGTTCTGGGCTGTGTTTTCTGGATATAAACTTTTCCTTCCTATGGTTAGAAATCCTGCAGATGAGTCACTGAAGTAATAGGCCTTCAGACCAACCCCAGGGACACCCAGCAAGAAGGGCTCTTATGCTTTCATTAGGATGCTTTGTTTTCTTTCTTCTCACCTCTCTTTTTTCCATCTCTTCCACGCGTGTATGTGCATGTGCGCACATGCCCATGTCTGTGGACTTCAGAGAACAACCTTGGTTGTTGTTCCTTGGGGGACAAACTCAGGTGTTGTTCTTCTGGGGCCCCCTACCTTTTGTTTGAAGGAGAGTCTGTCACTGGCCTAGAACCTCACCAAGCCTATTAAGCTGGTAGCCAGTAAACTCTAGGGATCTAGCTGTCTCTACCTTCCAGCTTGCCATGAATGCAATTGCAAGCATGTGCAACTATACTCACCTTTTTATGCGGGTTCTAGAGATCTGAACTCAGGTCCTTGCACTTGAAAGGCAAATACTTTATGCACAGAGCCATCCCCTAATCTGGCATTTTATTGTGGTGTTAGGGGAACTACAACATGGGATATAATCATACTCCATTTTTAAGTCTTTTGCTGGAAGGTGGGCTGAAGGTGGGTGGGTAGAGCAAGGAGGCAAGGCAGTAGGGAAGGAGGAGAGATGTGTCCAGGGGAACCACATCCAGGGGGCTGCCACAGTTCTTAAAGCATACGCAGCACACAGGTGGTGATAACAAGAATTATGGGACATAATCCTCTATTCTCCCTTGCATGTATGGATATGGTTCATTTTCAAACTGTGCAGTTTGGGAAGAAGGAGGAAATACATGACTTGAGACAAAGTCATGCCAATGTCAGGGTGTCCTCCTCAGTGCAAGGGACTTCTTGGAGAAAAGGGAAAAAAAGGGTGAGCAAGGGAGACAGAGAGAGGTGCAGAGAGAGTGCTTTGATCAGATGCAGGAGTCCAGAATGCTGGGAGAGGCACACAGGCCTCACCAATTGGTCCATGCCCTTTGATACCCTGTTCTCCCAGGTCCCCACAACTGCCTTTGCTTTTGAGTCCCCCACCCATCTCTAGTCTTTCTTCTAAGAACACATGACCCTGGTCCTGGGGGCTGATAACTAGACTGTTTCAAGTTTCAAGTCAGTATTTTAGAAATGAATCACAAGAATTCCTGCTGATAAACTCATCTCTAAATATCTTTCCTAAAATTCTTCTGAACTGACGGCAATTTTTGGCTTACAGAGTTTTTCAGTTGTTTAAAGAGGGGCTGGGTTATGAAAGAGATGTAGGAAGCTTGTATTGGTGTTCTTAAACTAAAAATCCTCCTATAAATGTGAATGTATTCACCCTCCCAAATATTTGCATCAAAGGAAAGATAAGAGATCCTTTCCTGGGTCTTTGCTCTTTGGAAACATGGGTCTGGAATTTAGGATTATTATTCTGTGCCAATGTGTAATTTTGTCTGTCTTAGTCTATTTGAGCTGCTGTAACAAAATACTTAAATTGCCTTAGAGATAACAGAAATTTATCCTTCAAAGTTCTAGAGGTTGAATCCAAGGTTGAATGGTTGCCAAATTTGGTTTCTGTGAGGGCTGCTTCCTGGTTCCCAATGCTGTCGCATTGCTGCATTCTCAGAGTATGTGAGAGAGGAGGAAAACTGGATTCTCTCTCCTAAAGGCACCAATCCCATCCCAAGGTTCCCTCTTTGTGATCATGCAAACCCCTCAATGACCCCACCTACCCATGCCATCTCCTTGGGGGCGAAGGTTTCAGCATATGAGTTAACCTCATGATAGCAGGTCTGCTCTTCTCTTTGACCTATAAGAGAAAATTGAGCTTCCTTGATCCTGGCAGTTGAGGTTGTGGGAGGGACTCCTGCCAGCGATCTCTGCAGCTGCCTGGGGGAACTGCTGTCATTTGCCATCACCACCCCACTCCTAGGAGGTTACAGAGCTCTATCAGCCCCTGGCCATTTTGTGTAATGAAGAGGCAAGTATGAGTATGCTTTTCTGATGCCAAGACAAGTAGAAATTGAGCCATTCATTTTTTCTCTTCTCCCTCTCCCTCATCCATCTTTTTTCTGTTTTGAAGTGTGACATCTTTATTTTTTACCTCTGAGGTTTGAAAAATCACCTTGATTCAGGAATTCCACCTACTAAGGTCTTTTTTCCTGGGAAGAGCACACTAAGGCTGGTTATAGGAAAGGATATAGCAATCCATTGCTTGGTCAAGTTCAGGCTACACATGGATGAGCTCTGATCCCCATCAACCAACATTAATAATGAAAGAGGAATGATTATGTAAGGCACAAATGAAGCATGTCAACATGCTCTCTTCCTGGAGAATCAATCAAGATTTAGCAGAGGCCAGGAGTTTCACTCTTACAGCTACAGAATATTTTTACATAATGCATGCTGAACTTCACACTGATAATCTCAGGATCTTTTCTGGTTGCTTCTTATTTCCACCATGATTAATTTACCAGCTTACTTTTTTTTTTTTTTAATCATCAAGTCTAGTTTCTGCTCTAGGCAAAAAATCATGATAGAAGCAAGTTCCCTACACTGTCCTAACTGACTTTCTTAAGACTCCAGACCTGCATTGATTACATACTTCCTTTTCTGTCCTTTCCAAACTTAATCAAATTCTTCATGCACAGGGGTAAACAGACAATAGAAGTTTATGGTGCTCCCCAAAGATGTTTTCAAACAATGAACAAAGGTTTCCAAAGGTAGCAGATGCTGTGGTTCAAGAACCGAGAATGCCACACATTGGCTAATCCTCCTTGTCCTGTAGAGATCCTCTAGAGAGGAGTGGGAGGCCACACAACAAAGCCTGTATCCTCACTGTGTGTGAGGAAGTGTTCCTGTATGCCCTCCTGCTTGGAAACTCACTGTTTGCCTGGGCTTGGGCTTGGTGATCCAGATCACAAACCCCTCTATCTGGGAAAGGGCAAACTGGAAAGAATTTTGGTCACAGCCGGGATGTTTTAAAGGGGGGATTTGGTCAGACCCAGCCTCATAATCACACTGTCACATCTACTGCCCCTTCTTTCTTTGTTTTTAATTCATGGTCAAGCACATGATCCTTCCTAGCTGGGTGTTATCAACCTCCTCTTCTTACAGGTAAGTAGAAGTGGGCAAAATCATGCCTGATTCTGAGGCCTGTCAACTCCCAGTTCTGAGCTCTTGCCCCCCCCCCCCACACTAAACACCACCACTTCATTTCCCCAGCACACTGCGTCCTGGAAGGGCCGCAATAACTGCAATGGGGTCTACAGTCTACATGGAGCCTTGCTGGGTCTGATGAAAAGTGGCTGTGACCTTCCCAAGAAGATGAGATGAGGAAGAAGAGCCCCTGTGAAGGGCGGGGCACTGGCCAGAGCTGAAGGCATGGTACCACAATGTGAGAAAAGCTAAAGACTAGACTGGAAGCTGAAGCCTTGACAAAAAGAGGGACCCTGAAGGGAGACGCTAGAGGGGCGGGGGCGGGGGTGCAAATAAACAGCTTGGGGGTGGGGTTGGGGGGGGGTAGCTGAGGTCACGTGTCTGGAGGAGAAAGGAACGCAAGGGGGTATGCAGCATGTGACAGGACGCATTCAGCAAATGCCAGGTATGGCAGACTGAGCAACGGAATTGGGGAAGTCTTTGGGATTTAAGTCTGTCACAGTGACGACCATGGACGAGTCAACATTTCTCCACCGTGGAGCACAAAAAGCATGGCGCTTCATTTGCTTTGGCAACTAGATGTCTGTTTCTGCTTTTCCCACCCTCCCTCCTCTCGGCATTCCCAACCGGCAGAGGTAAGGGGGTGAGGAACGCAGACCCCCTCCATAGTGCCAATACCTTCCTCTTCAGCCGTCTCTCCAGCTCTTTAAAGGTTCCCATGGTGGAGCCCCCCGGAGAGCTAGCTCTAAGGCTGCGTGCACACCCACTTTTAGAGTTAAACTGTGCAGTGCTTGCGTCCCACAAGCTCTTTCCGAGCCCTAATACGAATCTGCGTCTCTCAATCCCGCCAGGCAGCCCCGCCCCTCAGCTGCACGTGGTTGGTAGCGAGTCGCGCACACCTGACGTCAGCAGTACGCGCCCCCCGTGCAGCCTTCCGCCCGGCGTGCGCGCCCGGGGGTTTGCTCCCTTGTCCTCTCCTCAGACGCCTCCTAACCGTTGGACTCCCGGCCAGAGGCAGCGCCCGGCAGACTCGCGACAATGTCGATGCTGGCGGAGCGTGAGTGTCGGCCGAGCTGGGCGACCGAGTGAAGGGGTTGATGGGCACGGGTCACTGAGATGCCCAGGGGCCCGGGGGTGTCCGAGTTCCGGGTGGGGACCGCAGTGACTGCCGGGCCCGCGCGGGACAGATAACGATGGCCTCGAGATTCTGTTCTTGCTACTAAAGTCTCGGGTCGCACGTCCACGTGTGCGTTCGGAAATTCAGGGCACCAAGCCCCCAGACTGTCCCTTGCGCTGGCCATCGGGGCCACCTGGGAGGATTCTTGCACTTTCTCCAGGCCCAAGTGTCCGAGGGTCCCAAAAAGACGGGTCCCGTATCGTTGCTCCAGGCTCTGAAATTCAGCTGTCCAAGGTGTGTGTTGGACCCAGAGAAGCAAAGAGAAGGATTACAAGTGCCACACACTGATTAGCCCGTGGGGGGCGGGGTGGTGGTGGTGGAGTACAGGCTGATGAATGGTTCTAAGTGAGACGGAGAGGGTATCCGTGTTAGAAGCGACATTGCCTCTTGGTCTTTGACACTTAACATCACTCTGAAGGCCACTAATTCCCTTCCTCAGAGGCTACTTTAACGTCTAAATGATAGGTGTAGCTGTGGATTCTTGCCACCAGTGGGCAGTCATGGGATGGTCCCAAAGAACTCGTTTTTAACTTTTCCTGAAAGCTGTGTAGCTATCGAGGAACACAAACAGATGTCTTCTTTTTTTTAAAAGATGTCATTATGGCATTTTAGAACAATGCGTGTTTTGGTGATTCTTATTCCCCATCTGCCACTACCCTACTGCCCCCTCTGATCCCCCACTGCCACTCCTGGTCCCCTCTTTGTAGTTTACCCCTACTCTCTTTTCATGGAGTATACTGCACACACCCTGCAGGCAGCTCAGTAGTTGGACTGGAGAGTGCCCTTTCTAGGTAGATAAGTTGATTCGACCCTCTTCTAGGCAATTCAACTGGACTCTACTTCCATGAAACTGGGCTAGTTTCTGCCTCATCCAGGCTTAAAAATCTTAGTGAGATTTTTGTATTGCATCAATACAGTCTGGTGTGTATACAGTGGTATACAGGGAAGAACAGCTGACCTGGCCACCAGTTCCTTATGTAGCATGGCAATGCATCTTGTGTAAGTATGTGACAGGGATGGATGCATTTCTGATGGGAAGGGTAGGCTCCTTACAAGGTTTGGTCAAAGACCCCTGACAGGCATTCTCCGGACATGGATCGGACACACACATGCAGAACACAGCTGTCTTTACTGTGTTTATTAGTGAGATAGTGTTGTGCTGGGTATGTACCAGGCTGTTGAGCTAGGTGGAACAAGTTTTTGGATCAGCTTTTTTCCCCCAGGCATAACATTGAGAATTTGAGTCCAACTCAGTTTGGTTTGTGGTGGGTTTGTTTGTTTGTTGGTTTGTTTGTTTTTTCCTGCCTGTGTGTTTATGAAGGGATTCTTGGTTTTGCTGGGGTGTGTACAGGTGAGGATCCCTACTGACTTTACATGCAGCACAGTAGCCCCTTGACTAGAGGCTGTGTTGTTTTCAGATGGGTTATGAGGCTGTTGATGGCGGTACGCTTGCCTGGATGCAGTGGGTGAGCAGTAATGCTACTCAACCTCCAGATTCCTTACTTGGCCGCGGTTGACTTGGGAAGTTCAGATTCTTGTTCTGTTGGCCCTGGGGGTTCTTTTTCTGCCTTAGTTTTTCCTCATTGTAACAGTGAAGCCAAATGTGGTGGCTTGTACCCATCGGCAGCATGTGTGGGGCTAAGACTAGAAGACTGCCACCAATTCAAGGCTACCCTAGGCTACAGAGCTAGACTGTCTCAGACAAAGACGCAAACAAAGTGTAGTGATGAACTTGAGTTCTTAGTGGTCAGTTATTTATTTATATTCATTTCACAAAAAAGTCTCATGACACCCAAAGCAATTCCCCTGTTTCAGCTATTTGTCCCTTTCTTCCTCTTTTTCTCTATTTTTTCCCTTTCCTTCATATATTGATACATCTTTATCAGGGGCCAACCATAGGCAAAGTGCTTTTTCTTTTCCTCCTTGCAATGAAGCATAAGGATGAAGAACATATTCAGGGATATAGAGTGAGAGGACACATGAAAGATGGATATAAACACCACAGTGCAGTAGAATGTGAAGTGCCACAGACTGTCCTGGAGGCTCAGTGAATACATCATGAATACATTATGGTTTTTAATAAGAAGGGAGGTATCATATTATCTATTAGTCATGATATACAATTGACTCTCTCTAAGATCAGAATGACTTGTGTACGTGGATTAAGAATAGAAATTGAGCCAGGTGGCACTCGGGAGGCAGAGCCAGGTGGATCCCTGTGAGTTTGAGGCCAGCCTGGGCAGGCACCAAAACTACACAGAGAAACCCTGTCTCAAAGAACCAAAAAAAAAAAAAAAAAAAAAAAAAAAAGAATAGAAATTGATCTGGGCATGGAATGTGGAGGCAGGAGGGTCAGGAGTTCAAGGTCATTTTTACTTATGTAGCAAATTTAAGATTAGCCTGGGCACTACATGAATCTCCGTCTCACCCCCGCCCCAAATAAGTTTTGAAATCTATAGGACCTTGGTATAAAAGGCTTGGGTTTTACTTGGAGGCATTAGGCAGATATTATTCTCCTAGACTCGGGTTTTCTCATCTGAAAGGTAGAAAGGTAAGAATATCTCCCATCATTGAGATACTGTGGAAATTGAGTCTAATATCTGTGTAGCATTTAGCCTATAACAGGAAGCAATGCACATCAAGGTGACTGCACCCGATGCTGTGGTCGCTGCAGCTGCCAGTGAGTATGAAGGGGGCGACAAGAGGGGCTTTGGTTGTTGACAGTGACTGGATGTGGAAGGCTCAAATAGTAGTCTATCAGGTATTTATTTTGTTTTCTCTCTTAGCGGGAATATTTTACTTTGAATTTTACAAAGTCAGTTTACATGCCAGGAATAGTTATGGTAAAAAACAGGGACGAGATTCTCTTAGCCCCTTGGAATTTGAATGTGTCCTGTTACGTGTAAGCATGTGCTGATTTGCAGGTGCTTAAGACAGGTTGCTGATGAGATACCTTTTCATTTACAGGTCGGCGGAAGCAGAAATGGACTCTGGATCCCAGAAACACTGCATGGAGTAATGATGATTCCAAGTTTGGCCAGAGGATGCTTGAGAAGATGGGGTGGTCTAAAGGAAAGGTATTGTATCAAAAGTCTAAAGTATCCATGCCAAGCCAGGAGATTACAAATTAGAAACTAGCCTTCATAGAGTCTGGGAGAACTTTGTGCTTTAGATCAGTAATTGATTTTGGAGAACTAAATTGTGACCAGGTGGTAAAATTAGACTGGACCCTGGATACCAGCCAGGTCTTCTGGTTCTTGTTGTGATTAGTATCTTTCTTAGCTATCTTTTAATTCATTATATATGGAATCATACTTAAGCTTCAGTTTTGTGTTTCCAAGAATGGTACTTCATTGTTCTTTTAGCAGATACATGTTTTCTCAAATCCCTTATATTCCACTCATTCTTGACTACTGTGGAGCTTCTCATGTGAAACTATACTTCCTGCTTCTGTCAGGGTTGCAGGGCTCTTGCTGAATCCAGTGGGTGTGAGATATTCTTTTTTTTTTTTTGATTTTTCGAGACAGGGTTTCTCTGTGTAGCTTTGCGCCTTTCCTGGAACTCACTTTGGAGACCAGGCTGGCCTCCAACTCACAGAGATCCGCCTGCCTCTGCCTCCTGAGTGCTAAGATTAAAGGCGTGCGCCACCACCGCCCGGCCGAGATGTTCTTAATTAACTCCCCTTCAGCAGTGCTCCGCACAGTGGCTGCTTTGTTGAACTTCGTGGTGGTGGCATTACTACCCTTTTCTCTCCTTGTTTTTTATCACTTGAACCACCTCTCAGTCATGGCCATCTTCTTCCTCTAGACTTTTGAGCTGTGGAGCCACTTTGCATACTCTGCTCAGGCGATCTCATTAATTACCATGCACTGAATTATGCCTCCTGGCTGTAATACTTGAGTGGCCATCTCAAGATTATTTTTTATCATAAGCCTCTAGTCCCCTCAAATCTTCTCGTTTCCAAGTTTTCCTTATTTTCAAAGATGGTGCTAACTACCCAAGCATTTAGGCAATGCCACCTCCCATTTCCCTCTTTTCCTCCTCTGTCCATTTCACTGTACAACAACCAGAAGGGCCTTTCAAACTTAACTTTAGATCTTGTTGCTCCCCTGCTGAAGATGTTTCTAAGAATTAAAATCTACATCTCTGCTCCAACTTTCAAGGTCCTGTGATATTTGATCTCCATTTTTGTGTTCTGTTCACATTTACCTAGCTGAAGCCTCCCTGGGGGTCTTTCACGTCCTGAAGTCCATCAAGGTCTTTCTCACTTACAGTCTCTGTGCTTGCTGTTCCTATGACCTACAACCTTAGGAGTGAGAGCTAGGTGAGACCAGGGACCTGGAGCGCTCCTCCACCTTCTTTCTTGATGCCATGTTACATGTATCAAGTAACAGAATACCATGTGCGCCACATGCTCCTGTGGGCTTCTGCCACTTGCTGTAGCTGTGCCCTGCTTCAGAACATAGACAAGATGTGTGCTCTACACAGTGTTGTCCTTCATGGACTCTGTATTGGTCCTTGGGCTCAAGAATCAGCATTCACAATTAAGAGTGCATCCTCAGTGCTGCAGACATTATCTTCCAGAATGCTCTGGGCCAGTGGTTCTCAACCTTACTAATGCTGTGACTTTTATACAGTTCCTCATGTTGTGATGATCCCCAGTCATAAAATTATTTCATTACTACTCTATAACTAATTTTGCTACTGTTACAGATAGTAATGTAAATATCTGAGATGCAGGATATCTGATATCTGACCCCTGTGAAAGGGCTGTTTAACCCTTAAGGGGTTGCAACCCACAGGTTGAGAACCATTGTTCTGGGCTGTGTCTGTTTTGAATAGATGGTGAAGAAAGAGAGAATTTCTCTTTGTGGCTGATAGGGTTATATTTAACCTCTTTATGTTTAATCTCCACAGGGTTTGGGGGCTCAGGAACAAGGAGCCACAGAACATATTAGAGTTAAAGTTAAAAATAACAACCTGGGACTTGGAGCTACAAACAATAACGAAGTGAGTGACTTCTGAGTGCTTTCTTTGCAGAGTTGAGTTGTGTCAACATAAACATTGAAATTCATGCAAGTAGATGGAATTGTTTTTAATCAAGAGTATGGTACATGCTTTGGGTGAAGAAAGACCTAAGGGCACTTGGCTTAGCTTGTCCTCATCCTGTGACATGCATCCACCTCCTTGCCTTGTCCTCCTGGATCCTTTACTTAGTTATGGCCTAGAGAGACACTCCTGCTTTATGGCTGAACTTTGTAAAAAGTCTTTTCAAAGAAATGTTCATTTCAGCACAGAACCATTTTTCATCTTTGCCTGTATCCTAATAGTAGTTTGTCTTACACCATGGGTGGCTTTGAGAGTGGGAAATGATGTAAGAGAGCTGGCTTGTTTCTGCCTGTTGGTGTCCCCAGTTATCACATGTCCTCTTGAACACAGACTCTGCACTTGCAAGGTTAGTACCCACTGCTCCTTTTCATTCGTAATGAGACCTGGGAGCTTTGATCCTGAACTCTGGTAGCTAACAGAATCCAGTAAAAAAAAAAAAACAACAAAAAAAAAACAAAAAAAAAAACAAAACAAAACTGGGAGAACGACCTTATGAACTGAATTTGGTATCTCTGACTAGAACAGCTAAGATTTTCTAGAGTAACAGCTAAAATTTTAGCCTCTAAAGAAAGAGCTTCTGTAAGGTTAACTGTAAATGCTGTTGTGAGAAACACGAAACATGCTATACTTACATTCTTAGGAGAAGAGCTGTGTTCTGTCAGCCTATTTGTACACCTTAACTCTTAAACTTTCTTACTAAGAAATGCTTATGTAAAGTTGTATGGGCAAATCGTGCTCAGAAACCCTGCTGCCCACTGGGTCATATTGTTTTGAGGTCATTCTTAGTGGACACCTTGCAAGTAGGAACTTACTGATTCAGAGACTTGGGATGTTCTTCTACAGAGTTCGGTGAAGTTGCTGCTGACAAAAGTGTTCCAGTCAGCAGAGTAGTCCAAGCTGTGTTGAGCAAAGAGGAGGACTGTGTTCTCACTGCTCTTGTCTATCATGTCCATGGTGTGGGTCATTCCTGCCCTGCCCCCCAAGGTTTATTTATTTTATTTTATGGGTATGGGTATTTTACCTGTGCATATGTGTCTGTACCACATGCTTGCAGTACCCACGGATGTCAGAAGGCATGGGATCCTCTGGAACTGGAGTTACAGACAGATGTGAGCCGCCATGTGGTGCTGGGAATTGAACCTGTGTCCTCAGCAAGAGCAGCCAGTGCTCTTATCTGCTGAGTCGTATCTCCAGTCCCCAATAGTTTCTGTGTGAGAAAATAATAATTTTATATTGCTTTAGCACACTTTGCCTGCTGCTCTGTTTTTGCTCTGACTTAACTATGGGTGAGCCATATACCTTTGAAATACAGGTTTGAGCTTCCAAGCAGGTTCCTCTAAATATATATGTATATTTTGTTGACTTTGTGGTCCTGGGGACCAAACCTGAGACTTTATGCATGCTAGGTAAGGACTCTACTACTGAGCTTTGCCCTACATGCTCTAGCTCTTATATGGATCTGCTTAAATCTTATTTCAAGTTTATACTATTTCTTGAATCCAGTTAAATTTATTAAGTAATAGTTTGATGTCGGTCATAGGTGCTGCAGTAGAGAGAGTAGCTCACCAAAATGCCAAGCTTTCATTTTCCAAAGGAAAAAAGACCGACACCCAGCTAGCTCACTCTAGTTACTTTATTCAAATATATTCAAGGTTAATCGGAGCTGGGAAAGGTTCCAACCACCACAGTCATCCTGCTCTTGCTGCCTGTGAGAGCAGACAACCCACACAAATTTCAGTCATAATCAAAAGTAAGAACTCCAGGTTTGCCAGGAGTGTCTTCAAGATTTAAATAGTCTCAAAACAGTTTCTCAGTCTCTGCTGATTAACCCAAACATAGCAAAGGCTTTGCTGAACATATCTCTCAAAGCCAGACACAAAGGCTTTAGTATAGATTTCACTACAAAGTAATATTTTAATAAACATGTACAATTTCATATTAACGGCCACATTTCTGTCATATGTCTGTATCAGCAGTATAGTAAGCTTTGGGTTGCCTCTCATACTTTTTGGTGCTTCCAGGACAACTGGATTGCTCACCAGGATGACTTCAACCAGCTTTTGGCAGCACTCAACACTTGCCACAGCCAGGACACAGCAGGTAAGGACACTAACACTGCTGCTCCTCCATCGTAAGTGCGTTTTACTGTAGACCTTCAGATCCCAGAGCTGGGTGATGGAAGCAGTTACCAATACTCGGCTCTGTTTATATTTTAATGGTACTGTCACGGAATGAGCTTTTGCCCACTGTCCATCTTCCTGGTCCTAGAGACATTTTTCCATTGTCACAGCTATGGACATGTTACTGGTATCTGGTAATGCCAGAACTGTGGCTATACATCCTGTAGCATAGACAGCTGTGCCCCACAGTAAAGAATGCCTAGCTTTCTTGGAGGAAACAGCAGGGCATATTAAGAAGGGCACATGGGTGCTTTAGATCCTGGTAGTGCTGGTAGTCTAACCCTGGAAGAAGTGATGAAGGGGTTCACTTTATACTTCTTCAACTGTATAGGTTTTAAATATATGCTATGCACTTGTTATGATAGAAGAATTGTGAACATTACTTGTCTTTCTGTCAGACTTAAAGTAAAATACAGCATATGTAATTAATGCTATGTAAAGACTAAAATGAAAGTTAGCTAATGAGTGACCGATACAGCCTTTGGCTACCAGAGAGTCCCCCTTAGTGAGTATCTGGTGACGTCTAAGTGTCATGACTAGGGTATCACTCAAGCATGAGATGCCTTTATCACCAGTGTCCTCATGGACCTTTGAACCTGGGATCCTTTTCTCAGAGATGCCCACACTCTGTTCTTAATCAGAGAAAACTGTTTTGCTCTGGCTTTGGCATTGACACTGTTACTTAGTGCTTGGGCCTCAGAAAGTGCTTGTAACTTTCAGGCCACAGAATCCATCCCAAGACCTGATCTGCTCCAAGACTTCAAAAAGTTCTTGCATGGGTTGTGTGGATAGAGAAGAGGTTTCACTTCCCCCAGTCTGATGATGTCATGATCACTGTTTACTAGGTGAGAGGTACCATTTTAGTAATGTTGGGACCCTGTCTCACTGTTGGTTTCCCTTGTCCTACACTGATGGCTGGAGCTAGGCAGCGTCACTACAACAGCTGGTCCTGGAATGTTTAAGTAAGATCAGGCAGCGGGCGTCCCAAAGGACCCAGAGGACTGAGTTGTTTGTCAGGAAGGCTGTGACTGACTTCACAAATGACACTTGCCTTCTTCATCCTCCTCCAGGGTTAATCTCCATGGGCTTCCTTTTCCTTGGTGCCCAAACCTGGGAAAAATTTAACTGTCAAAGCTGCAGCTGTCCACCTGTAGATAACTCCTGTCCAGACCACTAGAGGGAGCCAGTAGCCCCGCAGCCCTGTTGATGCATTTAGAGAAGCTTGTCTGTGGCTCCACTGCCGGCTAGAACTGGAAAGCGCCTTCAGAAGATTCCTTTAGGGAAAGCCTGTTCCCAGGACAGACCTGGAGAGCTAACAGGTTATTTTCCTTTTTTGAATGCAATGTCTTCATCCACATGAATTTTTTATCAGTCATGCATTGCTTGCATTCAATGGTAGATGGCATAGGAACCTAGTATTCTTTTCTGTTGTTAAGATCCCTTAGTAAATTCAGACTGTTTGCCTTCTAGATAATCAGACATTTTGTGTTTTCCTCTTGTAGAACACAAAAATCAGAATGTTCTTTTAAATTTCTTTCATTTTAAGTTACCTTGTTTCACACACTTAGGTGTGGTAGGTGTTTATAATCCCAGCACTTGGGAGGAAGAGGAGGGAGAATCACAAGTACAGTGTTTGCCTCGTGTAAATTGTCAGTTCATGGCCAGCCCGTGTTACACGAACAGGATGGAGGGCGGGGGCTGGAGAGATAACTCCAGTAAGTAAAGTGCCTGTTGCACAAGAGTGAGGACCTGAGTTCAGATCCCCAGCAACCACGCCGGAAAGACTAGTGTGTGACTGTAACCCTGGTCCTGGGGGAGCAGAGACAAGAGAATCCCTGGAGCTCAGTGGCCAGCCCGTTTACCAGTCAGTGAGTTCTAGGTTCAGTGATAGACCCTGTCTCAAAAAAAATGAAGTGTAGCAAGATGCAGAAAGACACCTAACATCGTCCCCTGGCCTCCACGTGCATATGCACACTTAACGCACACATGCATATGCACACTTACACACACATGCAGACATACACATGAATAAGTATATAACTCCACATACATACACAGGTGCATGTACATGCAGGAAAAGCTATCCTGTCTCACTTAGGCATACCCTGACAGGTTCACACTAGCATTTTGATGGCACTTCCTCCTAGTAACCGCATATTAACCTTCTGATATTTTGCCACTCGTTATTTTAAATATTTTGGGATGGAAACTGGGGTGCTGAGAAGTGATGAAGTGCAAAGTTGTGGTTTGAAGCAGCATCCTCAAGTTCTACTCACATATCCCCTGAAGAATTTTGAAAGTGTGCTCTGTCACACATTTTTAGATCAACATCCAAAAGATTTTAAACCCACAAGTACATTTCCAAAGGATGTAATTTCTGGTTCATGGAAAAAATATTGATATTTTAAGGAAAATTATGCCATCATTTTTAAATGTGCCCCATGTGCTGGAAATGGCATTTATTTTGTAGTAACCTTAAATGCCTGTAGTGAATGCCAGATGCATCACAGTTTGATATCCATTGTCTCTGAAGTATGCAAATACATACCTCTGTAGGGTCCAAGAGGCTCTATTTCATAATTCCTATCCTCTGAAATAACATTTCCATTTCACATTGTATTTTATGTTAATATATGTTAATTTTTAAACTTTTTAAAAAATATTTGTTGGTGTTTTGAGTTAGAGTCTTACTAGGTAGCCCATGGTGGCCTTACATTAATGATCTTCTTGCCTTACCTGCGCCCAATACTGTGATTGTAAATTTGCACCACCGTGACCAGCCTTACACCCTTTTTCAGTTGGTCCCATTTCTCTACCACAGCACAGACAGAACATTTTGTTTTCTAGTGATCTCAGCACTCAGTACAGATGTTTTCCTTTGGGTTAAGTGGCCATAGTAATTAGTGGATTACTATTAGGACAACTAGAAAACGCATTGTAAATTCAGACGAATACTCAAAAATAAACCAGGGAAATCTCTGGCATTGTGTCTTGATAAGATGAATGGAGAGGCTGGTTTTGATGAGAAGATGGGGCCCTGTTACCCATATTTGGGTTCCTCATTGATCCCAGGGAGAGAGCTGACCTTCTTAAAGTGGGATGGAGACATGTGGGAAAGGAGAGCATGTGGATTGTGCCCTCAGGTCAGAGACATGCCTGTGGATCCCCTGAGCTCAATCCAGACTCAGGCGTCCTTCCACAGGGACATTTAGACTCAGAAGGTGCCTCCTGAACTGAGAGCAGCTCTGGTAGGCCACAGTGCAGTGGTTCAGGGCGATGTGCTCTCAGTAACCCATGCTTAGCACTGTCTCAGAGCTGAAGCACTGTCTTCACAGTTCCCAGCCTGCTCTGCTTCATGCTCTGTTTTGAAAGTACTAGGAACTCCTGGGGAGATCATGGCTACCTATGATGTGGCTCAGTGGTCATGTTGGAATCAACCCACCATTCTTTACTGCAGGTGATTAAATGATGTTCCAGTATCAGGCTGTGTTCAGTGTGAGCTCAGCCATATTGAAAGGCTTTTGGATTACCTAGGTATTGTACTGCTGTGAATTAGTGCCATGAATATTCATATCTAAATTTTGATATGAAGACATTTTCATTTCTCTTCTTTAAGGGTTTTATAGGCTAAAGAGAACCTTGCCTGATCTTCACTTAAAAAAAAAAAACCCCAGTTTTTTGCTAATGGTTTAGTAATAAATGATGACAGTCCTATAAAAGCGAATCTAAAAAAGCTCTTCAGCTTTTCTTGAAGAGAATGAGTTACATGGTGTTTGATGTTTTTCTTCCTTCTAAAGATTCCTCAGACAACAAGGAAAAGAAATCTTTTAGCCTTGAAGAAAAATCTAAAACCTCCAAAAACCGGGTTCATTATATGAAATTCACGAAAGGTAAGAGCAGGCCTTCACTTGTTGAAGTGTGGGTGCTGGCACAGGGTTTCCTGAGGCTTTGTGACTCGCCCAGAGCTGCAGCACTGGCTGCTTGTCTGAGGTTCCGCATGGGGAGGACTGGGCAGCCTGGCGGGTTGATCTGCAGCAGCCCTGCGTGGTGAGGGTTCGGTATGATTGCAAGGTCCCATGCTGACTTGCCAGGTATCTTATTAAAGTGCAAATTGGGGTGCAGTAGCACCAAGAGGAGCCCAGCGGAGCCTTTAGACTGGGCAGGTCAAGTGTGGGCTGTGAGTGGAAGTCAGTGTTCTGTTTAGAGGAAATGGGGATGCTGTGTAGCTAGATCAAAAAATAATTTAAATTTTCTGTTCTTCAATTTTACAGCTTTTACACTCTTTTTCAGTTCTTAGTTGTGGTGGATAGTTTCTGTTGTTGACATTTTGGCTCACTAATTATATCAAAATCTTCACTGTAATGACTCATAGTCCCAAGGTGACCCTTGTAGAGTAGTCTATACAAGTTCTCCATCTCATGGAGTATTACTATAGGCATCCCATGGCCATGGCCAGGGTGGTGTTGAGAAACAGGGCAGTTGGAAATTAGGCAGGAAACCCTGCCTTGCTCTTCACAACCTTCCTAGGCCACCTTCCACCTTCCCCATGTAGCTCATTCTGAGTGCAGCTGTTCTTTGTAGCCATTAGGTGGCACTCGTGTACAGATGAGAAGCCTTTACCTTGCTATAAACAAAGCTCAGATGTTTCTGCAGAATGGCCACAAGCTACCCTATTACATGCTGTACTTCATGTATGTTAGGTGTGATGGTTACTGTTTTGTGACATCCAGTCACCATATGATTGTTCTTTGGCATATTGGATGTCTGTTTCTGCCTCTGTGCCAGGGAATGTATATCTCTTTGCCTTGTTCTTGGCATTTGGGGGATTGCTTAACTCCCATAACCTGCCTGAGTAGCAGTGGGAGACAGAGTCTGACTGGACACTATTGATAGTAGCTGTCCTTTAGGACCAGGACCTCAACAAGTAGAACTGTGCTTGGAAGAAGTGAAAGGCGCAGCAGAGGCTGGAGTTCAGGAGCAGAGTGACTTCCAAGCATTGTGGGAAGAGAACTGGGGTCTCCTTCCTTCCCCACAAGGGGTTTTAATTGCTCCTTTGTGCTATCCCTTTCTTTTTCACAGGCAAACACTCTTTTGTTGGAAGCCTATGAGGCTTCTAACCAGGGCTTATCTCTAGCACACCATAACCTGCTGTAGGACAGAAAACTACTTTACTGTCCTCCTGGTCCTTTGGGGGTGAGGCATGGTAGCCCCTTAAACAGCCCTTCTCTTTTCATTAGACACTGTAGGAAGACTAGAGACACTGCAGAAGGCTGTTGCGAGCACACAAGTGGAATTCACTTTTGGATGGCATGCAGCCTTTCCCCTTCCCTCCAAATGTATGTAGTCTTCTGATTGTCCTTTAGTGCCTGACTGCATGCCTGACTTCATCCGAAGCATTTGCTGAAGTTAGGATACACCTCTCTACGCTGCTCTAATCTGCTGGATACTGGCCGTGATTGCTTTCTATTTCTAGTTCAGCCACTCCCTTGCTGGTGACCCTGTCAAACTGCTTGGTGCATTAGGCCTTCATTTCTCTCTCACAATGAAGTGTGTGTAGTTTTCAGCCTTGCTCCTGAAGAAAGGAGGCCTTGGAGTGCAGAGAAGGAAGAGCTGGAGGTATATTGTGCTAGAAGGAGAAGAGGTATCAGGAAATAGAGGACCCAAAGGCTGGAAAGGAGTGAACATAAGAAAGGAGTGAAAATCCAGGTAGTATAGGAAACAGCAGATACCACCATCTGCACTGTCCAGTGGAAGTTGGTGTTACAGTTCTTTTAATTTCCTAAAAGCTATTTCTTTTCACTTGGTCTTGTCTCTGGGTGTGATGATAACCATAAACTGTTAGATTGTTCTAAAGGAGCCTGTCTGGGTCAGAGGAAACTGGCTTCTGGCTACTGCTCTCCCAGATACATCCCGAACTATTTCCCTTCCTTCAAATTCTGTTTCCTCTTCTGTAACATGAGGAGGTATTTGCAAGCTGCCACGAAGCCCAGCTAGACTGTTCTGTGGTTTGTGAGACATGACCCTTTATATGGAACTCATGCTTTCCAGCCTTGTGGAAAAAGGGACTTTAATGTTCGCAATCAAAGTTTCTATCTAGTTCCTTTTGCTAATGAGGATGAGTCACGTGGTAAGTCCCCGTGTGTCCAGAAAACTAAAATGTAGGTGGTGCTCTGTATAGCCTGCTCAGGGCCTTCCCAGAGCAAGGGCTGGCGATTGTTGCACACCTTTGGTCCCAGCACTGGGGAGGCAGAGGCATGCTGATCTGCATCCAAGGCCCGCCTGGTCTACACAGTGAGTTCCAGGCTAGCCAGGGCTACATAGTGAGACCCTGTCTCAAAGAAACAGTGCAGAATACCTGGCCAGATCTAATGGTACTGTAATATCTGCTATTGCCTAAATTCTGCCTACATCATTTTAGTCCTCATGCATAGTTACTCCTTTGTGTAGCTTCTACTTGATTTTGATTTGAAATAAATATGAATTTTAAGTTACTATCATCCATATTTGTTTAAAATCTAGCTCCTTGCCAAGCGGTGGTGGCGCACACCTTTAATCCCAGCACTTAGGAGGCAGAGCTAGGCAGATCTCTGTGAGTTCCAGGCTAGCCTGGTCTACAGAGTGAGATCCAGGACAGGCACCAAAGCTACACAGAGAAACCCTGTTTTGAAAAACAAAACAAAACAAAACAAAAAACCGAAAAACAAAAACAAAAAAATCTAGCTCCTCCTACAGTAAGACCGTGGTTGTAAGGGGCATGCTTTTTTATTTAATTTAGTCTTATTGTTTGAATTATGTAAATGAATTTTGAAGCAACTGAAGCTACCCAGATAAACCTGTTTTTTAATTTACAAATATATTTACTAAGCCAGCATTTCTTTAGGGTGGGCTACAGCTATATTTCATCCATCTTCTATCTATGAGTTATAGTCTATTTGCTTCCCAGGTGCCAGCCTGGAGGATGCAGTTGGCATTTGTCAACTCTGGGAGTTACACTCCTTCTCTCAGTGTGATCATCTGGAAAACATGCTAGCCATGATTGATAGCTAAGTAGCTAAGGCTGTCCTGAGTGCAACATTCCTCTGTGAAACCCTGCACCCAGCCTTGCATGGACTTCCTTGTGTCTGTTTGGCTCCTGGAAGTGTTTCTTCCTGGTTCTTGAGATGCAGTTGTGGCTGAGCTAAAGCAGCCACAGCTAGACAGATAACATGTTTTCTGCATTGTTCGGTTTTTCTGTTGGTCATTTTGTCAAAGATATAATTAGTTAACAGTTTTTGTTGTGATTTTACCATAGTTCTGAAGCTACAATCCTTTCAAAGTTAATTTTTACTATGTGTATTTTATCCAAGAGTGACCATAAATTCATAATGTATATAAGCGATTCAACCAGGACCACTAGTTGACTCTTAATTTCAAGATCCCACCATCTTCCCATTTCACCCACTTACAGATTTCTTCTTTAATGGCCTCTGACTCTCATTTCTTTCTGTGTTCTTGTTTTCCAGATTAAATCTAGAGCAATTCCTGTACAGCCCTGGTTTCTACATTTACTTAAGTGAACTTTGCTAGAGGATAGAAATTCCTGGCCCAGGAACCCACCCCAGGACTCTAGAAACCCTAGCACCTCTGTTGAACATTGTGCTGATTGGCAGCTTCCCATTGTGTCTGAGATTTGTTTTGAATGTTTGTGTATTCTTTTTTTTCACATACTAGTTGTAAATTGTGGCTCCATGTTCTCTCCTTTGGCCTTTTGCATTTAGTGAAATTGTTATAAAAGAGGCATGAATTTATGTTTCTTTTAGGATAGCTCCTCTTTTTAGGGGCCAGGTTAAAGGTCAATGTTTTGAGGGGGGGTTTGCTTGTTTGGGCGTTGGGGTTTCTTTCACTGTATGGCACACTGGCTTAGAATGTTTGATCCTCTTGCCTCTGCTGACTGAGTGCTTGGATTACAGTGTGCATCATCATGCTTGGTTTCTTTTGCTCATTCTAAACCAAGTTAAGCTGACTCTTTTCTAGGGTACAACTTCCACAGTGAATGTGCTTTGCAAATAAGAAATGGATTGCACTGGTGACAGCTGAGGCTAGGTCTCCACCTCCCGAGAAGCTGTCCACTGCTCACTGCTGCAACTGCAGTTGTCTTTGCTACCTCTCTGGTTTTATTGCCTGTGCTCCTGTTTGTGGAAAGCATCACTCTGTTCTTATGTGGATTCTCCTGGGGCTTTTTGAATGGGGGTTCTGTTGAATCTGGGGTGCTGGCGTTGGCTTCTGGTGGGAGGGAAGCAACACTGGGAACCTTCCCATACCTCAGGAACAGGTTGTGCCAACTGCACCATCTATTCCGGTACCACTGCCTCTGAAACTGGTTCTGGCACCTGGTTTTGCATCAAATTGAAGGGTGTTTTGTTTTTTCAATTTCATGGGGTCACTGAGCAGTGTCATATTTGAATGCCCCAGTGCTAATCGGTGAACCAGAACATTCTAGGTCATGACATTACTTTGTCAAGTCAGTTTGCTACAGAAAACCAAGACCAGTGAGCTGGTGACTGGAACTTGGCTTTCACCTAGAAACCCAGATTCCTGTATGTGACCTGACCTCTCGTCCCAAGCTTAGCAGCTTCACACGTAGAGTTGAGTTTTCAGATGCACTTTCCTTGAAGTTGATGGATGGGAATGGATTTGGCTGACCGCTCACAGGGTACTGTTGGGGAGAAGTAGAAATTTCAAAGTGAATTTTCAGTTAGTGGTTTGTGGGTTTTTAAAATAGGACTCAGGTTCTTTGGACACTGCTCTTACCATTTAGTTCCCTGTTGCCGCCATGTGGCTTTCTTTTTAACTGGTAGAGCTGTTACAATTAAGAACATTTTAAAAAGAAACGTTGAGCTTTGGTTCGCTTTATCCTTTTAAATTTTCACTTAGTTATTATTGAGATCCTGTGTGTCAGCAATTAGTGAATGTGTGAATATTGAAAAGGTTTGAGGTTATGTGCCTATCAGGATTTTCAGTTCTGCATTTTGTAGCCATCAGTAAAATCACTGTTTCTCTTTGAAGGGAATGAATTGTTTTGCAGATAGTGAACCCAGAGACCCCCGTAAGTCCCACCCTGCTGGCAAAGCCAGCAGGAGGGTCACTTCTGAGTGGAGCTTTCTGTGCAGTCCGTGTGCTGGGTTTGCAGTCAGGAGGGGACTGGGCAGTTCTGGTGCTAAGACAGTCCCTGAAGCTTTGATTGAGGTCTGTGGTGTGCTCAGAGTTGTAATGTGAGGGGGTCGGAGTCAGCAGCTGACCTTCTGCTACCAGCCTTCTATCTTTCAGGAGTAATTTTTTTTTTTTTTTGGTTTTCCGAGACAGGGTTTCTCTGTGTAGCTTTGCGCCTTTACTGGAACTCACTTGGTAGCCCAGGCTGGCCTCGAACTCACAGAGATCCACCTGCCTCTGCCTCCCAATGCACCACCACTGCCCAGCTTGAGTGACATGTTTTTACTGTGTTTCTCATTTCAAGATGAATGGTCTTGCTGAAAAGCTCTGTGTTGTTTCTAGGGAAGGATCTTTCCTCTCGGAGTGAAACTGACCTGGACTGCATTTTTGGGAAAAGGAAGAAGAAGAAGATTGCTCAGGTACCCAGCTGTGGGTTGTAATGATGCTGTTTGTGTGTTCTCTTTGTCTCTTCCCAAGGGTATGGAATGTCACAGACAACTATGTGACCCCAACTCCCACCCTTAGCCACTAGATCCTGGGAACGGATGGGCAGTGGGTACGCCCTCCATTGAACATTATGGCTTGTTTCAAAACTGGAAGATACAAATGAACCTATAATTCATAACCCTAATGATTCCATTGGGCTGTATATTGCACAAAACTTTTGTACTATTTCCAAATGTAAGAGACAGCCATGTATATCATTCTGATGTGAAACACACTAGAGATTTTAGCTATATTTCTGGAGATAATGAAAATTTGTTTAATCTAACAAAATCTGGGCTATATAGTTAACTACAGTTCCTCAGTGAATGTGGTGTGTCATGCTTATGTTCCTTTATTGGTTCCTGGCCAAGGTCCGTGGTCACCATAGAACAGAAAGACAACTTTAATTTGTCTCTAGTATTTTTCCAGACTGGTGGTAGTAGATACTTGTTACTCAGTATTATGTTTAGAAACTTGAGAATTGTCTATGATGAGAGACTTTGTTAAACAATTTCCTTTGCAGGTTAGGGCTGGATTCCTGGGTTTCCTAACCCCTCTCTGCCTCACTCTTTAAGCAGGGTGAGCATTGAGGAAGCTGTTTTTTAGGGTTCCCTGTGGCCTGCTAAGACTCATGGATGCTGCATTATGTGAAAGATGGCCGGTCCTTGGTGGTGATGTGTTCCGGTAGTAGAAGAAAATATTTAATTTTTTTGAGAGATGATACAATAGGTAAAGCAGAGTTAGGATCTCCGGAGCACATATAAAAAGCCAGGTGGGCGTAGTAGCCCATCTGTAGGGTAGCATGGGGGTGGGGAAGGTGACACATGGCATGGGGAATCTCTGGGCTGTGCTGGATAGCCAGAGTGCCTGAAATAGCAAACTAAATGAGAGACTATGCCTCGGTACATAAGGTGGAGAGCAATAGAGGAAGATGCCCAAAGTCAACCTCAGGCTTCTGTTCATCTGTACACATGCATGAACAGACAGACAGACACACACACACATACACACACCACCACTCACATGAGAAAGAATTTTTCTTATTCTCTGTAGCTGATCCAGGTGAGGACTGCAGTGTGAGAAGGCAGCTGGGTTAAGAACACCAGGGCAGCTCTGAACACACAGTTGACCAAGAGAGCAGCTCCACTCTCCCCAGGTGGCCAGGCTTCACAAACCTCCTGGAGCCACACAGTCACCCGTGGAGCTTGCCGTCCTGCACATTCTGCAATCTGCCTGTCTGTGGAGTATCTGGGTGTTATTAGTTCATGTCCACACTGAGGAGATAGACCCATATGTATAGCCACATGCATGCAGAAAACATCTGTCTAACTGTGCTTCGGACAACCAACAAAGGTTTCCCTATGCAGAATCCTTCTGTCTTGGATGTATGTTGGTTTGCCTTTGAGTTCTGGGTACAGCTGCACTTTCCTTGAATAGTGTTGCTAAGAAACCTTACCATGTTACTTAAAACAGTCTGCACAGCCAAGGGCAAAGGCCTTTGATCAGATTGGTTTGAAAATACTGCTTTTGGCTCCTCTTCTCAGTTGGGTTATTGTGTTTCCCTCCCTTGACCCTCATAGCAACATTGGCTTGAATTTATGTTTTGCCAAACATTGTGCCTAATGATTTCATTGTATCTAATGAAGAAATCGATCTACTGTATTGTACATGTGGACTTTTTCATCTGTCAAGTACATGTAGGCAGTGAACAACTTAAAAGGGAAAGAAGACTGTTTTGTATCCAGTTCTGGGTTCCCAGCATGTGCTCCATCCAGGATGGCACTTGGTAGGGGGTTCAGTAAATAGAAATTTCATTGTATTTCCTCTTTTAAAAATTGGGCTTTAATTGTTAAATATTTTTTAAATGATGCCTTGCATAACTTTGGGACTGGTATTAGAAATACCTTTTCCTTTAGTAGGTATTCATCAACCTGCCTTCTGTGCCAGGTATCATCTACTGGTGTCCATAGCTGATTGTTGAGAGGAGATTATTGAAGGAATACTTGCTTGTGCTACTTTATGTTTTAAAAGATCAGTTTGTAGAATTTGGCTTTCAGACATGGTGTCTAGGCTAGAGTGTTTCCCAGCTGTCCCTGTTTCTCGTTGCTGTGGAAGAAAGCATCTGTCACCACAAGGCCTCTGCTCTGATTTATCTGCTGACTTTATTGGTGCCTTAGCATTTCTTCCAGCTGTAGAGGCTGTTGGGAGGGGCACAGTTCCTGGCTGCATCTGGCTATTCAGAAGAACTTGCTTAAAGAGTGAAGGACTATCACACACTCACTGCCAGTTACTCAAGAGATATGTTAGTAAAATACCCTGTGCTGGGCTGGATGGCTGCACCTGTCTGGTTTTCAAGTTCTTCCCTTCCCCAGTGTGGTGCTATGTTACTTGGAAAGCTGTGAAGCTGAAGCAGAGTGCTCCCTAAATGGGATCTACCTGCATCCTCCATGGAAACAAAGAAATGACCCAATACACTGGATTGAAATTACTTGGGCCTTAGGAGAAGCTTGTTGCTGCTAGGAGTTACGTGTATGTTCTCAGTGGGAGGTGTGTGTGTGTGTGTGTGTGTGTGTGTGTTTGTATACATGAGCTTGCGAGCGTGCGTGTGTCTCCCACAGTTTGCAGATTGAAGTGGAGACACTGAAAAACAAATTCCATTAGTTCCTATCTGGTTGAACTTCCTGATACTCCCTAGTTTGTTCCCCCTCTCGTTTTTTCCCTCCCCCACCTTCCCAGTTTCCTTCCTCCATCCAGCTTATTTCCTGATTCAGCCTTATCACTAGAGAAAATACTCCGAAACCATATCGAGGGTTGGAAATGTGTTACTAACAGTCTCACTTTGTTTCTTTAAACAACAGGCCTCTGGCATAGGCTCTTGGCAAGTAATTATCCATGTCTTCACCATATGACCTGACTGAATTAGAACCCTGTGTATTTCTTGTGTACACTTACAATACCTAATTAATGATGATTTTCTTTGTACAACTTCTTTGAAGTCTGCTCACTTATTTCATGTTGCACATCCACTTTGCTGTGTCTTGCTGATCATAAGATCTGAAAACTGTTGTTTGATTGGATTCATGGGGCATTTTAGACCTTTTTTTTTTTTTTCTTTTTTTTTCCTGGTTGGGTGCAGTACCTTAAATCTCTTATGTGAAAAATAACTACAAAAATAAGAATTTTTCAAAAAGTTAAAATAGTTCTTACTTAAAATGTCTTTAGATTGGAGGCTTGTTTGTCCATTCATTCTCACCCCATGCTAATAATCTGTACTAGTGAGCTAGGTTGAATTTGGTAAGTAATTTAAAGGATGTGGCTCTCCCTTTCTGTAGCATCTTATACCCATTTTGGTCATGCCCACCCTGTCCTCACTGCAGAGCTGGGCACTAGAGAGGCAGGCATTCCTAATGCTAAGAACCTTTCGGTTAGAACAAATCTGGCCTATGACCATAAACATGCAATATAATCACTTGAGTTCTACAATTGATTCTTCTCAGTAATGATTTCCATAATACTTGTCACCATTTGACCATTGATAACAGAATCCAGATTCAAATAGTCTAAGTTGGAAGTTTTGGTCCAAACTCTTACCTTTTGAAGATAAATTAATGAGACGTGTAAAGTCTTGTTGAATCATTACATTAGAGGGTAACCTGACCCCGAATTAACCAAGGCTGAGACCTGCAGCATGGCATCGGCCTGAATGTGGGCAGGTGCTTCTGTGGAAGGGTTGTGCCTTTCGCTTGTTGGTTGCCTGCAGCCTGGCTTGTTGCCTTCAGGCCTGGGTGCCATAATGTAGAGAAGAGGTCAGAGACATATTTGTGCAAAGGGTTTCTGGGGTGTGTGCTGTGCACTGGAACAAGTAGCAGAATTGGGTGTGGTTTGCAGATGAGCACAAAAGGGAGTTTGTGGGGATGATGGGGAGCCCATGGGGACAGCTGCTCAGGGAGTGAAGCAACCCAGATTGACCACTGGCTAGCAGTAAGGATACAGCTGTGGTCTGTTCCCTGCAGGAAGTGTTGTACAGGTAAGAGTGAACAAAAGGCCTGTGAGCCCTCAGCCTTGATTCTGGAGGACAAGCACTTAGAATCACCTTTGCTGCTGGTATCCGAGGTGGTTCACATTTTCCTGAGCTGCTAGAAACCATTACTTGCTTTTTCTTGTTTCTCATAGTGGACAACTGGGTTTTGTGAACTTACCTTCTTTCTCCAAAGGGTGGATGTAAAAAATCTTGAAATGGTTGTTCAAGAGAATGAGTGTCAAGGGTAAGGTGGTTGTCTCAGATATTCCTAGTTTATCTGTAAGCTCAGTTTTCTTCCCTCTAATAAGAGTGCTGAATTATATGTTTCGGTAGCAGGTTCTATTTGCCACCGAAGGCCTGGGCAATACATTCCATTCCACATGCTCTTACATGTTCACCTCATAGGACAGTAGAGGCCAGCTCCCCTTTCCCAGCGTTGGGTGGCTTTGGTTTACTTGCAGCCAATAGACTGGCTGTGAGGATGCTGCACAGCTTTGGAGGCTGTATGAGTGAGAACATTTGCTTGGAGCCTTGAGGTAAGTAGTCATTCCCCTTGAACTGCTGCACTGAGAAACCAGGACCCACATGGAGTCCCTGGCCTTGCTAATGGCAGGAAAGGCTACAGAGAACCAGGAGCAGAGGCAGGCTTTGAGGGCTTCTATGCTTCTGGCACAGAAAAGACCTCCAACTCCAGTGCCAGAGGGATCCCAGCTCACCAGTATGACTGAGTAGTCTTTGAGTCAAGGGAATGAAGGAAACCATGAAAATTCTAAGATGCATAAAACTGTATCTCCCATGCTGGGATTATGGCAGTAAATACTCCCTGAGCAGGTGGAGCACTTTTTGTGTCTGCTCTGATAGACTGCTAGGAGTATCTTCGGCTTTACTGGGAAGCCAGGAAGGCTGGTAGTT